TTTTTCTAAAAATTTATTGATTTTTATCAGTGATATTTTCCACTTCCCGACTGAACTTGTTGTAGTTTCTTTTATAGGCGAGCTTAAATCTTCTCATAATTAATTTCCACCTTCTGCCATCCCTTCGATTTTCAAGACATTCCGAGAGATATACCTATAGGTATATAGATCTATAGACAGATCTATAGCTAGCTTGAGCTCACTAGCTGAAGTGCAATACGGAGGGATTCGCTTAGTCTAACACATCGATAGAACCTTAATAGAGAACATACACTTAATTATTATATTATATAGTATATGATATTGTCTTAATAAATTTTATTGTTCAATTGACAAGACAAGATGAGATCAAGATCTATTTAATTGTTTATTGATATTGATATTGAAAACAACTTTACCATCTCTTTCTACAGGATAAGGATAAATATGCATATGGATTGGTCACTGGGGGCGTGGTAAATTGAGAGAAGTTGCACCTGTTCAAGCTGACCTGCTCTATTGCTAAATCGGATAAGTCTATATCCTGCCTTTTCTGGGCGATATTGTTACCAAATGGTCGATAATGGGTATTATGCAGTCGGTAGCAGCCGCTATTACTTATTTCACACCATGTACACTCCTCGTTTGCCAATTCAAGTTAAATTTGAATCCCTTGAACTACTTTCTTGCTGGAATGTTTCAGTTCCTTTGGGGTATCAGTTGCTGATTTATTGATATAATTTGTGGGGCAAGCGAATGCGATTTGAATGCCATTAATCAGCAATGGGAGACAATAACAATAACAATGGAATATGACGCTGCTCAATCAAATGACGCACTTGAAATACCCTGGAAATGACAAAGTGAGAATAGAGCTCAGTTGTTTCTCTAAGAGCTTAAAGAAAATCTCATTCTAAAGTCTCTAAGAAGTCTTGAGAAAAATAATATAAATTTTATCTCTAGCACTGAATGAAAATTCCCTTTTGCTAGGGCATAAACATATTGCCTCCACTTGTGTGTGCGTGTGTATGTATATTTTATTATATTATATTATTGATATGCAATCCCGAAAACTTAATCAAGCAAAATTTATTCAAGTTTTCGCTTTCGTGGCACAAACCCTCACCACGCCCCCATCGAAGGGCGACTTTCATTTTGTTGCTGTTTTGCTGGCCATTTGCGTGCCGGAATCTGGTCAAGCGCTTGGCCAGTTAAAGAGTTTTCGATTCGATTTTCTTGCCTTCAATCTTAAAGATACATTTGTATCTTTGGCCTTCCCACACACACACACACACACACACACACAGCCATAACAGATAGTCGCGTGCGCTGTGCTTATAAGTAAGCTCCTCCCCATGTAACTGGCCATCGCATGCGGCCATCGCTTGGAGCTACTCCTGGGAACCGCATGAAGCTCGAGCAGCTGTTGGCTTCGACGGTTGCATGCAGCCAACGCAAGCGCCTCAGATACATTTCACTAATAAATGCACTTGCCATACACAATTGTGGATGATGCAGTGCACTGCCGTAATCTCTCGCCCGCTGTCCCGCTCCTCCTCTCCCTTATCGCTGCCTCCCTCTCTATGCAGAAGGCATTGATTGTAGCAGCTGCATATGTTCCTTGGAGAACTCGCCATGTCTAAGACCTGAAAGGCGTAAAGGGCTTAAATAGGTTCACACTGGATGTAGATTCGATAAAAGTATAGATAAAGATAAACATATTTGCAGATATCTGTAGATATAGCATAGACTCTCAGCTATGCTCGAACAGGAATGCATAGTCTATGTTTAAGGCGAGCTCTGAAAGTATTTATATAATATTTATAACTATGAACAATAAGAAAATTAATTTGTAATCGATATTGGCAGAAGCTATTATTAGTGCTTATCGATACTCGATTATTGACAGCGATAGCTGCCGTAAGCGACTCTGAGTTACAAAACTCCTCCCTGTTCGGCTGAATTTCTAAACTAAAAGAAGCGACTCGCAAAACGTGAATTAATATTCAGAAGATTAAAATAGTTTTTCTTGAAACCTTTTACTATCAAATCAAGTTCAACAACTTTTTGAGCTCAAGCTAAATAGTTGAGAATATTTCCAGCGAAATTGTTGCTCATATACCAGTAAAATGGAACTGCAGCTCCCGTGCCTCGAGACAGCTGCGGCCATCGGAGCGGCCCCGTTGCTGGTCTCATCCACGCTTTGGTGTTGCCCAGCTGGCTCCTCCGCTCCACCACCTGGTTCCAGGACGTCATTGAGGTGGCTGTTGGCATCACCTGCCCCGCCTTGGCCCCCTTCGCCATATTATATCAGCAGCGGCAGAGTAACGCTTAGAGCAATCGCATAGCGCAGCGTCCAGTCAAGTACAGGGAGTACTGCACCAAAAGAGGGCCGCCTTCAGCTCGATATAATAAATATATCTATGTATATGTATATATATGTGCATACGAATATCATGTTAAATTGTGCTTAAAAACTAGAACAAAACTATTCTTGAAACATAATTGGAGACACTTGGCACAGTCTGATACAGTGTATACATAGGAGTATCTATATGTATATATATGTATGTGTGTGTGTGTGTGTACCAATTATCAGGTGTCTGGCTTGCGTGTTTACGAAGACATCGACAAATTCCAATTGGCATTGGGCTCAGCTCAACTTACATACATATATAGAGGCAGCCGGGGCTGGGCTTATGATATTGAGGGTCAAGCACTTTGTCTGACTTGACAGGGCAGTGGGCGGGGTCGGTCAAGGGGTGAGGGCGGAGGCTGAGGCTGGGGCTGAGGGCAACAGCCAAGATAGCATTGAAAGGGCTATATACACGTCGTACAATCAATTGCTATTAGTTTTCATTACAGTCAAATTACCATAAAATCACATAGACCGTTAGTTGAGTTCGTGCCTTGCGGGCCTGTTCGCGTTGCCATTTGTCGCTGCCAGCGTTGCCACCTGACCGCAATGTACACACTTTTTCGATATTCATGGAATAATTACACTTTATCAAGACGGCGCAGTTCATGAATTAACACCAAAATGAAGCTGGGGCCCCCTCCAGGTCTCTGGCGAATCGAGTGGGGCAGGGGGCGGCGGGCGGCGGGCGCTGTCTGTTTCCTGTTTCGATAGTTTTGCCGGCTGTCCCTTGGCTGTGGCTTGGAAATTAGTCAAGTTTGTTACGTTTATGTGAGAGAATTACCGTAATTAGAATATATTGAGCAATAAAAGTGATTTTTATTATTGGAGCGCACAACGTGAACTCGGACAAGGAGCATTGTCGATGATGAGGACGACGACGATGGTGACACAAAGCCAGAGAGCACTGTAAGGGTGAGCACACACACACACACACACACACACACACACACACAGCACAGACACAGTCACAGGCACACAGGTATATCAATTGGAATAACTGTAATGGGGTCAGAGGACATTGTCGACATTTCTGGCCTTTTGTTGGTCATTTCATGCGGCTTCTGCGTTCAGCCAATGGCCATTAAATGGCTGCAGCACACACTTTTCTTATTGTATTGCAGCCCAAAAAAGGCAGCCGAGACACTCGAAGGAATGCCCATAGCGTGGCGATTCCAGCCTCAGCTCTTCCAAATGAAAATATTGCCTAGGCTTTTGTATTGGCTTTTGCATTAGCCGAAACAGTTAAAAGATGCCAAGTTAAAGAGCTTAAATCGTTATATGGGCTAGGCAAGTGGGGGAATATACCTGGCTGTTCGACTGTGGGTAAAAGCATCAAATGGAAGAGAATCAGCGCAAAAGAGGAATCTTTGTTGGCATTAAAATGAGTTGGAGAGGGTAAAACCCTTTAGGATCAGACATGATTTGAATACTTTATATTTAACTATTGCAA